GATGTCAAACTTTACCTGTGTTGGGGATTTTGAGACAATTTTAAAATTAGTAGTAAAAAGTTTTTTTTTTTTCAATTTTACTTTGATTTATTTTTACATTTTGAAAATACCCCTACCCATTTAAAAAAAATATTTTTTTATCATACTATTTATTAAAATATTAAAATAAAGATAGTTTTAGATGTTAGTGTATGTGTTGATTAAAAAAAACTACTGTAACAACCAGATTAGACTTTTAATAGCCATTCTCTGTAACCACTTAAACTTCGTTGCCACGCATGGTCACCGATTTTGATGAAACTTCACCCATGCTTAGTACTTGACACCAGAAACAAATATCAAACAAAATTTCGTTGCTGTGTGTCTCGGTTGCTATGGCAACAGCCGGAAAAGTTTGAAAAATCGAGATTTTCAGCCATTTTAACTCTTCACTGTAGCTTAATAAAAACTAGAAAAAGCAAACGAACCATTCTCACAAAAACATGACAACTTGATGTCACTTATACTGTAAAGAAACTGTTTAGAATATATCTCTAAGTAAGTGGTAACCAAGGGTACATTTGGAATACATTTAAAATGTTTAAATATGCTGAAAAACACTCCGTATTCACTAATGGTAGGTGTTACATGCTCAAACTCAATCAACGACTTAAGAAAAACAATGAAAATGTTTGACCTTAAGTATATAAGTATAAACAATATTATTCTATAACTAACTTTTATGGTTGCCATGGTAACACAGTGTGACCATGCAAAACCAGTAACTAAGATTGGGTTAATGCTACTATCTTGAGGAAAAACATGAAAATTCAAGACTGGCAAATATGCATCCTTAGGACCTTGCAACACCAAAACCATAAGAAAAAATTGGGTATAATTGCTACTTTGCAGTGTTACCATGGGAACAAAGTACCAGTGCTTAAAAGTGAATTATTTTTCGCTGCGTTAAGAATTAAATTGTCATTTAATCAAGAAACACATTAAAGGACTCAGCTTGAATAGTACTTATCTGTTAGAACTGAAGTTGAATATCATATATTGATAAAATTTGATGAAGAAAACAACACTGTTGCTATGGTTACCAAGAAGGGAAAATGTTCGATTTTGTGAACTTCATATCAATATTAAACCCTGTGAGCCAACTTCTTGCATCCACTTAGAGATTAGATGATAGTCAAAATTGAAAGTCAGGTAAGCTGTTAATAAATATCAATCATAAAAGTTTTGGGAATCTACATTTAAGGGTACGTATCCAAGGAAAGAAACTATTTTTCAGGTTTTTAAGCATATATTTTCTGCTTATTTCCATAGCAACGCTCTATTTAAAGAATCTAATCTGAATTTTTTCAAATAAGAAAACTAGGAGCACACCAACATCTTTAAAAATTGACCATTAGTTATGAGGAAATGTACTTTTTTAAACGATAGGATCAGATTTAAGCATACCGAGTGTTACTTTGAAGGCTCTCTGTGGTATAAAAACCTTGGCAACCATTGCCAACCAAAATGAAATATCATATTTTGTTCTTGGTATATGTCTCAAGGCTCTTTTTCCTATTATTTGGTCACATTTCATCCTATAATTGCTTTTTATTTTTACGTGTATGACTTTATAAAATTCAATGAATATTGTTTTTACTTTTTAATACTTTGTTACCATAGTAACGCATGTAATAGTTGATTTACCAAACATGTTTATCATGCATTTGAGACATCTGACCTTCAACTTTTGGAAACAGACATTGCCAATTGTTTGCTTTGCCGCAAATGTTAACTATGGGGCTCTAAACATGTTAAAAAATGCTATTTTTCTAACTTTAAGACATGTTGCCATGGTAACTATAAAACATAGCAACCAATTTTTGCCTGATTTCAGTTTAGGGTATCAATAACTTTTATCATAGAGAGTTTGGAGAAATTCTGAGACTATGCGTGCCACAGCTCCTATATAAAATTTCAAATCATTACAGAGAATGGCTCTTAAAATTCATTCCTCCTCAGGATCCCATCTATTAATAAAACGAAAAGAGAGTTGAGTTAACTACATTTTACTAAGAAAAATATCTAGGTTTATCCTAACCTCAATAAGATTTTGTCACCATGAAACATGCTGAAAAAGATTTCTTGTCAATTCTTAACTGAATAAAAAAGGAAAATAAGTGACCCATGATTGGAAACATTATTTTTAAATTTAATTACTTCACACAGTGCTGCTCTAAACTTTGTCAATAACATCTACACTTTAGGCTTACCATTTAGCATCTTAAAATTAATATCGAAATTTCATTTGAAAAAAAAAAAGTTTTGTGTGCTAAAGTTTATTTTTTTTAAATGCATATTATATTATAATTCTTTCAGATACTAAAGGTATACCGGGTATTTAATTCATATATTATCAATATAAAATTTTCATAGTAATACAGTTTGTGTATACCATGTTCAGTAAACATCAACGGATCAAAAGTTAATTAGAAGGTCCCCACCAGTGCCAAACAAGTTGTACAGGGTATACACAGGGACTAGTAAGTAAATGTCAATCAAGTTCCAGCATCCAATGATGGACCCTCACACACTTGATTGACAGGGCTACCCAGACCAGGTATTTTCGAAGGCGGTGCTTAAAATCTCTGCCTTTAACCCCAACCACAGGTCTTTGGATCGCTTAAATCCGACATTTAAACTAGAGGTACTGTGAGCGATGAGCTCACTAAATGATACCCCCCCCCGCCTCCCACATGGTTATAACTGGTGAAAAAGTCTATGTTTTCCTGTGGCCGGGAAACCCAAAATATGTGTCGGATAAGAGGAAGTGCACAATGGCAATATGTAATAAAGATTCTGTGAGAGTTTCATCAAAATTCATTCAGCAATATGAGAGGAGTTGCGGATAAGAGATGGGTACCCCAAAGCGTAACAGACGGACGGACGGAATTAACGATTACTATATACCCTCCCGCTTTTCAAGCGGGGGGTATAAATATGTCATTAACGAGAACACGTACATGTGTTATTTTTCAGCAAGCAACAGTGTGTACGATGGATGACAATTTTAATATGTACTGTGAAGGTAGGTACATATCATCGCCGGCGACTATATGTATACAAATTGACAATATGTACCATATTACACATCTCTTATCCACTAAGACACCAAAATCAAGGGACCACACTTCTTTGAACTTGCTTGTTACAGATTAATAAAGCTAAATTTTACGGATTATAGTGTGGAAAACGAGAATAACTGTCAGTGTGACACTTTCTTACTGAAAGCAATAAAGAAACATCCAAGGTCTGGTTGTGAGAAAACAAATTAATTCAACTAACAGAAAGCTTAGCACTCAATGGCATAAAAGAACCAGAAGTCTCTGTCGAGACTGAAGCTCTACTGGTTTGTACTTATAGCAAAGTAAGAGAAAAATACTTAAGCAGTTGCAATTTGAAACTTGACAACAGCAATAAATTGAATAATGATCCTTGATTATAACTCTCCTATGTTCTTAATGTATTCTACTTGCATGCCACATTATATTAAAATCAGACTAAAACTGTATTTGGAGCAGCATTTTGATAGTGTTTAACAGAAATTTCTATTTTTAGTAACCACGGCAACACCTTTCATCGAAATCAAAAACCGATATACAGAATTATATATATTAGTCTAGTCTAATTGTGTGCTAAGTTATATTGAAATCAGACCAATTCTGTAGGAGGAGTGGCATTTTGAAAGAATTTCACAGAAATTTCTATATTTAGTAACCACGGCAACATCGTTCATCAAAATCAAAAACCAATATGAAATCAAACCAAAACTGTAGTAGGAGTAGCATTTTGAAAGAATTTCACAGAAATTTCTATTTTTAGTAACCACAGCAACACCGTTCATCGAAATCAAAAACCGATAATTTCTATTTTTAGTAACCACGGCAACACTGTTCATCAAAATCAAAAACCAATGCACAGAATTATGTACCTTAGTGTAGTCTAATTGTGTGCCAAGTTATATTGAAATCAAACCAAAATTGTAGGAGGAGTAGCATTTTGAAAGAATTTCACAGAAATTTCTATTTTTAGTAACCACGGCAACACCATTCATCGAAATCAAAAACCGATAAACAGAATTATGTATCTTAGTGTAGTCTAATTGTGTGCCAAGTTATATTGAAATCAGACCAATTCTGTAGGAGGAGAAGCATTTTGAAAGAATTTCACAGAAATTTCTATTTCTAGTAACCACGGCAACACCATTCATCGAAATCAAAAACCGATACACAGAATTATGTATCTTAGTGTAGTCTAATTGTGTGCCAAGTTATATTAAAATCAGAGACCAAATCTGTAGGAGGAATAGCATTTTAAAAAATTGTTTACAGACAGACAGACGGACGGATGACAGACGCATTACTATTGCATAAGCTCTTCTGGTCTCTGACCAGTAGAGCTAAAAACAATACATTTTGAGATCATTTATTCCAAATTCAAAGTTACAAGGTATGATGTCATAACTGAATGTAATTCCACTGCAAACTTGAGCTGTCATGCCGAAGAAAGTGTCATAAAGTTTCGCGTTTTATAATAATCAACATGCAAGTGTCTTGACACTGTATTTTAATAAATGAAAATATTTCATGTAATAAATTCAGTGGGAAAAACATCATGTACAATTATTACTGTAATTGTAAACATGGTACATTTGGCTGCATATTCTATTTGGCTCCTTTGGTGGAAAGCAACTTCTAAATTAGGCATGCCACTAATTGTCCGTGCATAAACCAACTTTTTTGAATATAGTCACATTCATATTTTCATAATTTTGCACATACAAAAATGCTTTTAAAAGTCCATGCATAGAAAGTGAATCTTATCAAAGTTGATGTCCAAATTCTTCTATTTGCCGTCTTTAAAAATTTGACAGCAATAATGTAACAGGACTTTATTTACTGATAAAACATCATTCTAGAGGAACTAAATATAAATAAGTACCCCCTCAGACGAACTGAACAAGAATTCAAAATAATGATTTAAAGAATTATGCATAAAAAGTTATGAATAAATAAAAAAGTTCATGTACATGCATCAGTAAAAACATTCAATCATGTAAAAAAAGTACCCAAAACAATATTACATCAAATTCACATCACAGATCAATCTATGTTATATTATGCAACATCTAGATATCTTATACAGCTCAGAACAGAGACTTATATTTGTTCAACAATAAACACATAACCTTAAACTTAAAATAAACTTAAAACATGGGTCTTTAACAACAGAATAGAATTCTCATTAAAACAATGCAACAGTAAAAACTTGAAAGACTAGAAGAAGCAGTATAAATTTCTGTCATATGGTTAAAAGACATCACAGATTCTTTACGATATCACATCAAGATTGCATGGCCTTGTCTATTAAAGACAAGACCAATGATATGCTAATTACTTTGGTAAAATTAAAACATCATTTATTTTATTTACCTGTATACTTATGCTAACAGAAGATAATGCTTTCAGAAGATAAGATCAAGAAAACATAATTTGATCCCTCCAGTACAGAGTTTGGAAAAGTAAATAATTAGTCCATACTCTGTTACACACAATAAACCATATAACCATAAATTAACATCTGATGTTGTTCCTGGGGTACTTTTTTTCAACATACATCCAGCTTTCAGCCACAAAGACTACATGCATGTACCAGCCTACAATTTTATTTAGACAATTAGACGGTACCTAAAGTTTATAGTTCTGCAACTGCATTTCATTATAAAAATACAGTGAAATAGCTGCCAACTTCATAACCTATTCTCTCATATAAACAGTTAAAATATCCATGCAACGTCTCTTAAATTCAATATTAAGCAAAGCACTAAACATCTCTTCAAAGAGTTCTTGTCCAGCGTAATACATGATACACACTACATGTACAAGCATCATCACAGCTTTCTACTGAGCTGATACCTGAGTAAGTCACACATCACATACTTTGGTAAGTGTCCTTGGAATGTGTCTGTTGATCATCCTGTGGGATAAAAGAACTTTCTATTAAATACAATTTAAAAGTAAAATACGTTTTACAAGACATTGGCTTGAATTATTTAAATATTTTGTAATTAAGAAGTCTGAGTGTGTGTAACTTATTATTTATAAAAATTCATAAAAGAATATACTCTAAAGAAGTCTTGCTTGGGATGGAAATGTTAATGTTTCACTTTAAAATATTAAATCATAAAGAAGATTGGAATTTACCCATATATGTATGGGTAAGTTGAAATTCTTATGAAATTTTGTACACTAATAATACTATGGCCTGTATATATAATATCTGTAACAAAAGCTTGAATAAGTTCTGGCAATGGAGAAATTCAACTAGCTATCTCACTACATATCAGACTGAGTACCACTCTGTTTCGGGGCATTAAAGACTTTCAGTTTTGCAATACCAATGGCATATCATGTAAAAAAAAATTGTAGGTTAAGGTTAACAAAAAAAAAATAATTATAGCAACTTGTCAATTACCTCATCGGAATCTTCTGAAGATACATGGGAACTGTCCAACAAAGAATCTAATCCTAAATTCCCCTCAGACAAGGCAAGATCAGGATCTGAAGTGAAAACACCTGATTCCTTCTGCTGTGGATGAACTGTTAAAACATAAACATAGATTGAGGATTCTCTTCCTTGCTTCAATTTTTGCAACTGATTTAAAAAAAAAAAAAAAACTATTGATCATGGAACTTCCAAAACGATGAAATTCAATGCATATACAACTATTTCAAATGATAAATGACAAATGAAGGAATTTTTATCCCCACATAAATTTGTGTTTCTACAGAAATTATAACTGAATAAAAGAATATGGCGGTTAAATTCATGTTCTAGCTTTAAATAGTACTGTATACAAGGAAATTTTTGCCCCTGTTTTATTTATATTTTGCACTTGTCACAAGTGGGTGAATTTAAAACGGGGCGAATTCAAATAATACAGTGAACATTCTTAAACAGAACTGTGACTGGGCAAATTTAAAATGGGGCAGAATTGATAGCAAGTGTATAAGGGCAAAAATAACCCTGCATACAGTATTAATGTATCTTCATGTAAAATAAATACATACCCACTGCACAAGGCTTTTCACTGTGAACTTCTGAATTAACTTTAATATCTGATGAAGTCGTTTGGGAACTATTTGAGGACAGAACTGAAGAAAAATTCATTTTCTCTCCAACTTCATCTACAAATTATCAATGAATAAATTTACACGCTAAATTTGATTAACGTGATGAAATCAAATTTACCTTAAAATGATTATTTGTGGATTGATTTTATGTTTGCAAGTAAATATAATATAATTAATTTTAAGTTCTATCCTGTTGTATGAACCTGTTAGGGACAGGTATTGCCAAAAATTTCGCATCACCATGCACATATCAAAATTTCCCCCACAATATCACGATAGCATCAGAATAACTTTGCATGATTTTAACTTTAATTTTAAATGAATCTCTGAATATAATTTTTCTTATAAATATGATTTAAAAACCTTTAGGCTTTACTTTTTTTCTTTATTATTTATGTAATAATAAAGCAAACTTTGGATTCTAAGATGGACTTGTCTTACTGTCTTATTCTTGTTTAATGTTCTACTTGAGAAGGAATTTTTTTCAGATTTTTCTTGTATAGTTCAATGTAAATTTTAATTCCTTTTTGTGACCCTACCATACCCCACAATAATGATTTGAACAACATAAAATAATCTACCTCAGAAAGCTTCAATACCGTAATTGGGGGAATATAATACGCACTTTTTTCCTAAAATAAATTTCTGTGAGAAAGGGATGCGTATTTTACATCACAATGGGATTTTGATAAGTTTTTCTTTCAGGTGAAACACGGCTAACATACGTACATACCGTAGTATTACCTAGAGACATATGCAATTTCTTTTGTTTATTGCCATATTTTAAACTTCGGAAAGTTATTGTTGGAAGGTATGCTTGTTAAAAATGTCACTTTCATAATCTTTTGATACTAAAATAACATGAAAAAGCAAGTTAAAAGTAATTTGAGCTGCATGTTGATTGTCTCCGAGTAGGCCGCCATTACCGATGTTATTTTTAGACGTTCCTTCATGCCAGGGTTCGACACTAACGGTAGCCCGCTGGCCCGGGACAACTGAATATTGAGGTCGGGCTATTAAACATGCCTTTAAACTTGCCCTGCAGGGCTACTACTTAAAGAATTTTACCAAATAATCACTCAGAGCAACAAAATTAATTATCAATTACACAAAGTATCTAATCATTATTAAATATATTTTAAACATGTTTTATCATCATAATTATTATTTTTGTATGTCAAAATGTAAACTTTAAAGGTGATTCGAAATACCCTAAATGATTATAAATGTGGACTTTTTCAATAGGAAAAAAGTCTTAGGTATAATCATAAAGTGACATATAATTTTTACCCAAAATACAGCCAGAATGCCAGATTTTGCATCTCTATTTTCAAAATTTCCCAGGGGAGACCCCCCGTACCCCCACCAGCAGGAGAGGGAAACCCCCGCCCGCACCTACCCCCCTCGTCGCTTCGCGACTCAGCCACCAGCCTTCGGCTGCTGGACAACAGATACATGAACAGGGCTAGTAGAATTTAGAAATGGCTAGCCCTGCTGACAACTATGGTTTTAAAGTTAGTGTCAATCCCTGCATGCCTGTGTCACGTGCTTCCGTAATGATAGTGCACATGCACCTTATCTGCCAGACGAAGTAATATGTCATTTTTTAATGAAATACAATAAAATAAAAATTTATTTTAGGTTTTAAATAACTCAATGAAAATCTGCTGCAACATAAACACCCCTCCATACGTCCCAATGAAAGGAAGCCAATGTTGTGACACACGTGCGCTGGTCAAATGATAATTACCTATCAACACCCCTCCGGGCAATTAATTGTCTACCGACTCCAAAGCAATGTTTTTACAGTTAGAGCACTGATTATTTACTGTCCTGTTAATTGCTTTGATTATTTTCTTTGTTAAAAATTGGGGGTCGGTTTATGACCTTTCGTATTTGTGAGCATGTGTTGATTACGACACATTAAACAATTAAACACTTGTTAAATGTAATTTTACCATATCTTATACTTATCGGCCTCTTGTTTAAATGATTTAGAGTTTACAAATGAAATATGGATTATGCTAAAACTTTAGTGTTATCATTTATTCGTGTTCTTTAGAAAATAAGATATCCGCGAAGATTAAGAAGAGGAAAATCGTAGTCTTCTTAATTAAATAAATACTTTAATGTTTCAATATCGTGTCCTGTTAAAGTATTGTAACATAATTTTCAACAGGATTACCTAGAACCAAAATTAAATATGACAACTATTAAAACTTTCAACAATATCTCATGCTTTGTTGAAATAAAATTATTTCATCTAAGAATATGGTGACGCATAATTTCAAAATCACCGTAACTATGCTTTAAAAAAATTCTGTTAATACTTTTACTCAACATTATCTTGTGTTTTGTTGAAATAAATGAATAAAAAAATTTCTACAGATTGCCGCGATGTGGAATGTCAGGATTAAGAGAAAGTTATAAAGTGTGTATTTTAAAAAAAAAGGTGTGTTCAGTAAATTTTTGACACTTAATCCTCACGCCGATTTTCGTAACAAATTACCGCAATTTTCAAAGTTCAGAACATTGCTTGGTAAATTTTTCTGTTGCGTATAATACATCCGAACTGCGTTTTTTTCGCCAATTTCAAACTCAAAAAGGGGGGTGCATATTTTACATCAATGCGTATTATACTCGGCCAAATACGGTATACACTTTTCTAGCCCCATGGTTCTGAAGAAGAAGAATTTTAACAATTTGTTCCCTATTGATGCCCTATATGAAACCATTAGTGAATATGTCTCAGTTTTGAATAATGATTATCATAAAATGCTTGTTAATTTGATGTAATGTTATTTGTTCAGAAGTTTTTCTTTCATAGAAAAAAACTTCAACATAATACTTCTTTTGAATGTGTTTACATTTTCCCCCTTTGTTCATGTACCTGGAAATCTTGAAGAGGCAAAAGAGGCAGTGGATACTTCATTTGAATACTGATTGGTTTCAAATACATTCTGTACTGTGCATGTTGGGACTGTTGCTTGTTTTTGCTGGCTTTCATCCTCTTGTCCACTGACTCTTGTTACACAACTAGTGGTATTTGCAGGACCTTGAGGATTACGGTCCAAAAATGATGACATCTCTTCACCTTCAACATTTCTTTCTAAATCTTCAGTTCTTGTAGCTCTACTAGAGAATATTAGTCTCAGTTTCTGAGCAAAATTGACACATATACTCTGGTCACCTAAAATAAGAAACATCATACATCTAAATGATTATGATTTTGAACCGTCTGATTACTTAAGTAATGTAGGTCTTTAAAATTATTTAGAATTTGATAACAGTAGTTAAGACTACAATAAATCATTCCACTTCCATCACTCAGGGGTATAACTCAACTGCAGACCTGTAGTTGAATAAATAGATTATATTTTCCCTACACCAGATAGTGGAAGATCTACAGCAAAGGTAACTAACAGTTCTCACCTGAGTCACCTTTTGTTCTCTTAAAATTTTTGTCCATTTTCCATAAAATATTTAGTAGCCCTATCCTTACCTGGGAGCAAAATCATAAATTTAGCAAATCATGTAGTTGAGGTGAACAGCAGCAAAAGCTAATTTCATGAAGGTTTTCATAGGTTAATAACGCAAAACAGCTACCAAGGTATCAAAAACTTTCATATGAGTTAGAAAAATTGCCAATATCTGAACAAGACCAGAAGTCTCTGATGAGACTGTAGCTCTACTGGTCTATATGTATAACAAAGGAAAAGTAGCACTTGGATTTAAAATTTGAACAGGCAGCAATAAATAGAATTATGTATCTTAGTGAAGTGTACTTGTGTGCCAAACTATATTGAAATCAGACCAAAATTGTAGAAGGAGTAGTGTTTTACAGGAATTTCATGGAAAATTTTATTTTTAGTAACCATGGCAACACTGTTCATTGAATCAAAAACCAATACATTGAATTATGTATCTAAGTGTAGTCTACTTGTATGCCAAATTATACTGAAATCAGACCAAAACTATAGGAGGAGTAGCATTTTAAAGGAATTTCACAGAATTTCTACTTTTAGTAACCATGGCAATACCGTTCATGGAAATCAAAAACCAATGCACTAAATTATGTATCTAAGTGTAGTCTACTTGTGTGCCAAGTTATACTGAAATCAGACCAAAACTATAGGAGGAGTAGCATTTTAAAGGAATTTCACAGAATTTTTTAGTAACCATGGCAATACCATTCATGGAAATCAACAAGAGGCCCAGGGGCCACAGCGCTCACCTGAGCACATCAGCTACGAAAAAACACATATCAGATCAGAACTGAAAGTTTACCGGGGGGGGGGGGGGGCTTGAATTTTAACCACCAAGGGGATCATAATTTGAACGAACTAGAATCTACATTACCTGAGGATGATTTCATATAAATATTACTAATCCTGGCTTTGAAGTACTTGAAAAGAAGATTTAAAAAGGTTTCCCTATATATTTCTATGTAAAACTGTGGTCAGCCATTTTTGCCACACCCTTACCCCGGGGTCATGACTTGAACAAACTTGAATCTACACTACCTGAGGATAATTTCACATGAGTTTCATCTTTCCTGTTTCAATGGTTCTTGAGAAGAAGATTTTTAAAAGATTTTTCCTATATATTCCTATGTAAAACTTTGATCGGCCATTTTGGCCCCGCCCTACCCCTGGAGGTCATGACATGAACAAACTTAAATCTACACTACCTGAGGATGATTCCATATGAGTTTCATCTTTCCTGGCCCAGTGGTTCTTGAGAAGAAGATTTTAAAAGATTTTTCCTATATATTCCTATGTAAAACTTTGATCGGCCATTTTGGCCCCGCCCTACCCCCGGGGGTCATGACATGAACAAACTTAAATCTACACTACCTGAGGATGATTCCACATGAGTTTCATCTTTCCTGGCCCAGTGGTTCTTGAGAAGAAGATTTTAAAAGATTTTTCCTATATATTCCTATGTAAAACTTTGATCGGCCATTTTGGCCCCGCCCTACCTCTGGGGGTCATGACATGAACAAACTTGAATCTACACTACCTGAGGATGATTCCACATGAGTTTCATCTTTCCTGGCCCAGTGGTTCTTGAGAAGACGATTTTAAAAGATTTTCCCTATATATTCCTATGTAAAACTTTGATCGGTCATTTTGGCCCCGCCTTACCCCCGGGGGTCATGACTTGAACAAACTTCAATCTACACTACCTGAGGATGATTCCACATGAGTTTCATCTTTCCTGGCCCAGTGGTTCTTGAGAAGAAGATTTTTTAAAAATGCCAATAATTTTTCTCTAATTCATGATTATCTCCCCTTGGAAAAGGGCGTGGCCCTTCATTTGAACAAACTTGAATCCCCTTCACCCAAGGATACTTTGTGCCAAGTTTGGTTGAAATTGGCCCAGTGGTTCTTGAGGAGAAGATGAAAATGTGAAAAGTTAACGATGACGACAACAACAACAACAACAACGACGACAGACGACGGACAAATTTTGATCAGAAAAGCTCACTTGAGCCTTCGGCTCAGGTGAGCTAAAAACCAATGCACTAAATTTTGTATCTTAGTGTGGTTTACTTGTGTGCCAAGTTATACTGAAAGCAGACCAAAACTATAGGAGGAGTAGCATTTTAAAGGAATTTCACAGAATTTCTACTTTTAGTAACCATGGTAACACCGTTCATGGAAATCAAAAACCAATGCACTAAATTATGTATCTTAGTGTGGTCTACTTGTGTGCCAAGTTATATTGAAATCAGACCAAAACTGTAGGAGAAGTAGCATTTTAAAGAAATTGTTTACAGATTGATGGACAGACAGCTAGACGGACGTACGACAGACACCTTACTATTGCATAAGCTCTGGTCTCTTACCAGTAGAGCTAAAAAAAACTTGGGTTTCCAGTTATTTCAGTTTTAGATGTTCACATACCTGAAGACAACCTATTCCTTATGCAGAAGCAATATATAGAAGCACAGACCATGAAAATTATTACAGCAATCCTGCAATATAACATAAAAATTATATGTTATGTTACATTTCTTTAAAAAAATTGATCACAACATAGATTACTTTAATTTTTATGAGAGATTTCTTTAAGTTTCATAAAACCTACATGCACAATTTTATTGTGATAAAGCACAAACAGACCAATGATAGTGTACACAGGTAGGTTAGGTAGGGCTGTATCAATATATCGATATATCGATACGTATCGAAATTTAAGAAAAATATCGTATCGAAAAATAACTTCCAATACGTATCGGACAGACAGTTTTTCCTATAACTCTGTTAAAAAGATGGGAATTTCAATCACCAAAGATTATATTTTACTTTTTTTAAGGTCAGACGACACGTTCCTCAAAAATATATAATTTTTCCCAAGAATTTGTCATTGAAGTATAGGTACTTAAACAAGTTTCCTCACAAAAAATTAGGATACATTACCAGGCATTTGGACAAGATACCACAGGGTCATATTTCTTATATAACCCTTCTGGGTAATCATCTGAAGGGCCTATATCACAATTTTTTGTGTACTTATGATAAAAACAATTTTGAAAACAATGTAGAAATCAGGAGAGAACGACAAAAATGAATAATTTTTTATATAATACCAAAAGATACAAAACATATATTTGAGGAACATGTCGTCTGACCTTAATCAAAACTGTTCAATAATGATATAATTTGCAAGGAAATAACAGTTTTTATAATTATTACAAAATACAAAGAGAAAATTATTTGAACATGTTGCTTTTACTGTCATCAAAAGTTTTAGTTTGAAGTGTTATTTGTAAAGACAATGAGACAAAAACTTTAAAATGGGTAATAAAACACTTAATTGTTATGAAATTTATGCATTAAAATGATTTAGAAGCCCTTTCTGATGGATTTGTCTTAGAATCCAATATATCGCATATCCCTTTAAAAAATATTGTATCGTATCGTATCGAAATTTTTGGCTCAATACACAGCCCTAAGGTTAGGGCTGCTCATAAAATATCACAGTGCACTCTATTCAGATGAATTTTTGAACTTAAATAGTAGAATCATTTTAATTCTATGGTCTCAATATTTTTTTTTCTTTTCTACCCTCTTAGTATCTCTCCCAATTAAAGTAAAAATTTTTAATAAATAATAAGCCTTCAATAGCCTTGCTGACCTAGTATTACACATGTATTTTAACCCCACCAGTAAGCAGGAAAAACCAAACTTTCTTAATTTCTTAAAAGTTGCAGATATATAAGATCTTTGATTTATTGACCAATAGAAGTAATGTATCTTTTATCCGCATGCAAAATTGGAAATGAAAAATGTTGACATCTTACCTCTCAAACCCTACAAATCATGATGAAAAATGAATCTGAAACCCAGCCTTCTATTGATGCATATGCAGTCCATTCATAAAACAAAATTAAATCCCAATTTATATGATTTTATACCTGATTTATGAATCTGATGATCAGATTACCTTAAACAAAAGGTGTTTGTGAAACATTTCATGAATTCATAATTATCTCCCCTTGAAAGAAGGTGCAGCACTTCCTGTGAACAAATTTAAATCCCTAATATCTAATGATTTTTTGGGGCATGTTTGGTTGAAATTGGCCGTGAAGTTCTTGATAAGATATTAAAAGGTGAAAAAATTACAAATTGAATATTTTGTAACTTTATATCCAAGATCAAACTTTCCTATACTTGTAAAAACAATCCCAGCTAGTTTTTTTTCTTTTTCCCTCTTTCCAGCTCCAAGGGTATTGGTGAGCAGAGACGCTGCATTTCATTTCCGAAAATCTGCATAATTTCATTTTATTTCATTTTCGACATGATTTTTTTTGCATTTCCAAAATTTAACTGTGCGTGAATTTAATACATGTGTATTTTCCAATTGATTGAAAATGAAAATTTTAAAAGCATTTATTGCAAAATATTGATTGAAAATGTAAAAATCCATCTACCATACATATACATGTATACAAAAATTATACTTAAATGTAGCACACAATGTGCATTAAATTAAATGTGAGTGACAGCACCAAAAATATATCCAAGACACTTGATGTACCCTAATCAACTTTTTAGGTTTCGGTACTACCGGTATATAATGTGTGCTCTACAAAGAACTTAATTTTTTCATAGGAAGTCTTCAAATCTTTTACTGAAAGTACTATCTTAAAAATGTCAGAAATGAAAACAAAATAATGTTGGAAATGAAAACTAAAAAATGTCAGAAATGAAAAGTTGATAATTACAAAAAATGACGGAAATGAAATGCAGCCAAAAGAGAATCTCCATTATTTTAGGCAGCTCTAGCATAACTTTTGGGCTTGTTCTTAAGATTGTTAATTCAAAAGTCCCTACTAAAATTCCACAATGTCGTAAAATAATTATCTCTCCTTATAAAGGAGCTGGCACTTAAAAAAAATTAAATCCCTGTCATCAAAGGAATCTTTTAAATTAATGAATTCAAAAAGGAATTCTTTTGAAAGAGGATTTAAAAATTTTGATGTTTTTAAGTAACACAAGGAGGCAAAAAAGTTTTCTGACAGATGAAGAAGAAAACAATTCAATGTCCCTTTGCTATTGTGGGGATGCGGGTGGGGGTGGGATGTATTAAAGGCATTTTAAAAAGTCTGGATACTGTTTGATAAAATGCTTTAAAAAGTAGTTATGAATTGTGTAAAGTGTGTCTGATACCATTTAAAGTACTCATGAAAAATTTATTTGTATAGTGTGATGTACTTACATTACAATCAAAATTAATATCAAGGACAGGCTCCAGGAATGAGAATCTGTAAGTAAAAAATTTAATGTTGCTGATAAAATATTTTCGTAAATGCTTCCCTACACTTACCAGTATTTAAAGCTTACGTCATACACTATTAGCCCCTTCACGATAACTGTGGTACTACACTTTTGCAGGGCAAAATAGTAACGTTCGGTGAGGTCATACACTATTAGCCCCTTCACGATAACTGTGGTACTACACTTTTGCAGGGCAAAATAGTAACGTTTGGTGAAGTTTTGGTTGACAGATAATTAAATGTACATATTAAATGAATTGTTTTATCAACTGACAATCTAGCCCTTCATGCATACGAGGGGTGATCAAAAAGTTTGCAAACTATCTCTATATTTACAAAACCACAATGCAGATCAGAATGAAATTTGGCACACATAAAGTCATACATGTGTTCTGTAGATAGTATATGTAATGGAACGTTTTCCCCCATGTTTGTGACGTCACAATTTGAAAATGACGTGTCATAAGGTAGATCACTTAATTGTGACAAAAAAAACTGACTCAGTCGTATTCGAGAAACGAACGACTGTAAAGTTAAACATATATCTTGGAAATTCCTTTGTAGAAGTTTATAATAATTTCTATACGGTTTATGACGACAAAAGACTTGCCAGAAGTTTTGTCATTAATTGGATTAATTGTTTGAAGGAAGGAAGATGTTTAAAAATGATGTTTCTTCTGTTGCCCAGTGAAAGCAAACTTGGAGAGAGACCTATCCTTTGTTAAGCAATTTGATATGAAAGATCGCCAACTTGCAGTTAGAAAAATAGATGAATATCTTGACAATAATATAATCATCAAATCTCTAAAATATCGTTTACTTTAGACTTTAAACATATCAGACATGATCAAGTGAAGGCACCCATACTTTATCCACATGAAATAAACGACGCTCAAAAGACAGAGGACTTGGGTTTTGATGGTCAGGATGCTCATTCTGCATAAGGATATCATTATCCACCCATACTATTTCAGAGATTAGGCAATTTCTGACAATTAGACTGTTTTTGTTGGAAAAATAACTTGCAAGGTTAGAAATATAAGAGTCTGAAAAAATTTTAACCTTCTGTGACAAAACGCTAAGGAGCATGTCACGTGACCGCCTATATCACGTGATCCGCGCATGGGCAGAATGGTTGCAGATGCGTATTAAAATCGGAGAGGACTACTTTGAAACATTTTCAACACTGAAACCCTATATCATTTCTTTTTTGGAAGTTATTCAATTAGTTCGCGAACTTTTTGATCACCCCTCGCTGACAAAAAAAACAAGAGGCCCATGGGCCACATCGCTCACCTGAGCACTGTGGTTTTGTAAAAGTATGAATTAGTTTATTATTGAAAAGGTAAAATCCAAAAGTAGTCCCATAAACAATCATGGATTTTCTATCTTTGAGAAGATTTTTAAAGAATTTTCCTATATATTTCTATGTAAAACTTTGGCCAGCCATTATGGCCCCGCCCTACCCCCGGGGGTCATGATTTGAACAAACTTGAATCTACACTACCTGAGGATGCTTCCATATAAATATGATGAATTATGGCTCTGTCATTCTTGAGAAGAAGATTTTTAAAGAATTTTCCTATATATTTCTAAATAAAACTTTGGTTGGCCATTTTGGCCCCGCCCTACCCCAGGGGGTCATGATTTGAACAAACTTGAATCTACACTACCTGAGGATGCTTCCATATAAATATGATGAATTATGGCTTGGTCATTCTTAAGAAGATTTTTAAAGAATTTTCCTATATATTTCTATGTAAAACTTTGGTCGGCCATTTTGGCCCCGCCCTACCCCCGGGGGTCATGATTTGAACAAACTTGAATCTACACTACCAGTCTTCGCCAAATCTTTTTTTCAGCACATGCCCTTCGGGCAGGTGTGATCACCAATTACGCAAGCCCGAACAAATATTTACATGCCCAGAATTTTATCAAGTTATTTTATTCTTATTTGCCTTTCCATGCAAAGGAAATAATTTGAAAATCCAATCTGTCAATTTCTTGTCTCGCCATTTGTTTTCAACCTGTACACTTTTTGTGTCTCTTTTGCGGAAGAGTTCCTTGGAAATCGCGGTAAAATAAGATGTCGGTAAAATTTTATTTTTTTTTACTTCACTTAGATGGAAAATCAAAGACTTTAAAGTACATTTATGTTTTAAGTCTTATTTAATTCAATTATACCGAGGCTTATGCCTTAGAATTAACATGCCCTTCGGGCTTGTAAGTGTACAATTTCCACATGCCCGCTTCCAATTTTACCAGGTCCCGGGCGTCGGACTCCCGGGATTTGTCGAAGACTGCACTACCTGAGGATGCTTCCATATAAATATGATGAATTATGGCTTGGTCATTCTTAAGAAGAAGATTTTTAAAGAATTTTCCTATATATTTCTATGAAAAACTTTGGTCGGCCATTTTGGCCCCGCCCTACCCCAGGGGGTCATGATTTGAACAAACTTGAATCTACACTACCTGAGGATGTTTCCCCATAAGTTTCATCTTTCCTGGCACAGTGGTTCTTGAGAAGAAGATTTTTAAAACATGCCACCAAATTTTCATTAATTGCCAATTATCTCCCCTTGAATGAGGGCGTGGCCCTTCATTTGAACAAACTTGAATCCCCTTCACCCAAGGATGCTTTGTGGCAAGTTTGATTGAAATTGGCCCAGGGGTTCTTGAGAAGAAGTCGAAAATGTGAAAAGTTTACAGACAGACAGACAGACGGACAGACGGACAGACAGACAGACGGACAGACGGACAGACGGACGCCGGACAAAATGTGATCAGAAAAGCTCACTTGAGCCTTCGGCTCAGGTGAGCTAAAAACAGGACTGACGGGTCAAAAACATTATACCTCACGCAACTTCTTGCGTGGGGTTAAAGATGTAATAAAAAGAAACATAACACTCATATGTCTACCTCTACAATTTAGTGTGTTGTAACTAATATTTTTACTAAGGCAACTGAAATTAAGATTTCAAGATCGATTCAAATGATTTATTATATTTCACTGAATAAAATTTGATATTACCGATAATTGATATATATTGTAGATCATAAAATTTTCATGACACCTTATTTTTGCAAGATAGTCATTGCAAGATACAGTAGAACTCGATTATAATGAAGTCACTAGGACCTGTGAAATTACTTCGCTGTATCCATATTTGTTATATCCATAGTTGGGAATCATAGTTAACTTCACTATATCCATGAATTCGCAATATCCATGTTTGTACTAAACAAGTTTTGTTTTGCTGTAGTCATTTGATATTTTATAAAAAGTTAAATAACTTTCACAAATTTTTTAATTGTTCTACATCATCTTTAATTCAAAAATAATTAAAGAATAAAATTTTGTGTGCAGAAGGCCTTGCATTTTTGCATAAAATTTAAGTTCTTGCAAATAAAAAGTAAAGGAAAATTTCATTTCCATTTTTTAAATGTTTATCAGATTAATAGGCTTCTTAAATACGTACCATCTTTGCTTGTACTCCTAGGGTCTGAGATGTTGGGTTTTACTGTGACAGTGAAATCTGACACAACTTCATGCTCAGGCTCACACTCCCTGTTCTTGATGCTAGAACCATTGAATGTTGTGATAAAGCCCCGGGGGCATCTAAAAAAGAACATTAAAACAGCCATTATTAATTTAAAACATTAAAGAAAAAATCAACTTTCAGTAATAAATTTTTTCGAATTTTATATGTAAGGCATATGCTGATCTTCCTTGACTTTTGATCTCATGACCTTAAAATCTCACAATGCTCAACTCAGTAACTATGGTCCTTCTTGTATTTAGCATTCATTTTTCAAATTAATTCCATGTAAATTTTGATCTCCCATTGTAGCTCCTACCCTTCCCAACCCTTGGGGTAGTGATTTGGAAAAAGTTGAATTTACGCATGTTCTACGTCCCTTTTAACTCAAATTAATTTACGGTGCATTAAATTACTTCGCATTAGCTTCGTGTGAACGCTAAGCGAATTAAGCTATATCATTTGAATTAAATTTTGAGGCATGCGTAATGGCAAAATTAAATCAATTGTCATCGTTCGGTGGTCATCTGAATTTACGCATGTTCTACGTCCCTTTTAACTCAAATTAATTTACGGTGCATTAAATTACTTCGCATTAGCTTCGTGTGAACGCTAAGCGAATTAAGCTATATCATTTGAATTAAATTTTGAGGCATGCGTAATGGCAAAATTAAATCAATTGTCATCGTTCGGTGGTCATCTGAAAGTACTTGTGCTATTTTTGAGTGAAAAATTAAGAAAATTGTGGCAATCACTACAAGAGGTCCAGGGGCCACATCGCTACCCGAGCAATTTGCTAGGAAAAAGCACATATCAGGTCAGAACTGAAAGTTTACTGAGGGGGTGGGGGTGGGGGGGGGGGGGGGGGCTTGAATTTTAACCTCCCAGGGGGTCATGGTTTGAACAAACCAGAATCTGCACTACCTGAGGATGATTCCATATAAATATCACCAAGCATGGATTTGAAGTACTTGAAAAGAGGATTTTAAAAGGTTTCACTATACATTCCTATGTAAAACTTTGATCAGCCATTTTGGCCCCACCCTACCCCCAGGGGTCATGATTTGAACAAACTTGAATCTACACTACCTGAAGATGATTTCACATGAGCTTCATCTTTCCTGGCCCAGTGGTTCTTGAGTAGAAAATTTTTAAAGATTTTTCCTATATATTCCTATGTAAAACTTTGATCGGCCATTTTGGCCCTACCCTAACCGAGGGGGTCATGATTTGAACAAAATTGAATCTACACTACCTGAGGATGATTTCACATGAGTTTCATCTTTCCTGGCCCAGTGGTTCTTGAGAAGAACTTCTTTTGAATTTTTTAAAAATGCCATTAATTTTTCTCTAATTCATAATTATCTCCCCTTGGAAAAGGGTGTGGCCCTTCATTTGAACAAACTTGAATCCCCTTTACCCAAGGATACTTTGTAGCAAGTTTGGTTTTGAAATTGGCCCAGTGGTTCTTGAGAAGAAGATGAAAATGTGAAAAGTTGACAATGACGACGACAGACAATGGACAAATTTTGATCAGAAAAGCTCACTTGAGCCTTTGTCAAATGCATCTGCTTCTGCATAACGTGATGTGATTTGCAAGTGACATCATAATAGCCATACCGGCGCCTGACTTTAGAAGTAAAATTTTAATTCACATAAGTTATAACATGGAAAGCTATTAAAGTCATTCTTAACTAAATTCCTTACTCCTGATGTTTTTCACATTTTCCAAATCCTTTCTTTTCTTTGAAGAATCCAGGCTTGCATGGTTCAAATGTGCCTGTAAAGGGAGAACTCCATTACAAACTGGCAATGAACTACCTAAAGAGCATCAGAACAGACAACATATGGCTATAGCCTTTCAACTAATTTTTCAAATTGCATATGCAGTAAAAACAATTGATGGTTAGATTTAACTCATGTTACTCAATTTGTTTGCAAACACTATTGCAGTTATGAGACTACATATCTTTCAAAATATAATAACGCCAGACCGACCGTCTTTGAAATCTATTGTGGCAAGAAATGCCAAGTCAACAATAACACATCTATGGAAAAACATACAGTGCCAAACATACCTTAAAAATATTTAAATACTAGTATATAAATATCTTTTAAAAAAACACATAGCCTTTTGTGTATATTTCTCAAAGTTTAAAAAACAAGTATATACTGACAAAACGTCAGAAATATACTCATTGGCAAGCTGTAGAAAGTAAATTAGGAAGTGTTATTAATATCCTAAAATGGTATAAGATGAGGGCTATTGAGTTCATTCTTCTGTTGAATAAACTACATGTACATGAAACAAAATTCATATACTGAATTTTATTAGAAGAAATATAGTTAATCGTACTACTTTTTAAAATGAAATTACGTGATACACTTTCAGGAATGTTTTATAGAGCATAGTAACGTTGCAGTTTCTTAATTTAATGAAATATTTTTTCATGTAGACATTTGGTTTACTTCAAACTATACACTGGACAAAATTGCTAACCCACCACCTAAGAGAACTCATGTTTTAAGTATAAAAAACGGTTTATGGTGTATTTGGTATATAAATATGTTGCTTAATTAAAAGTGAAGCATATTAATGTCAAATCTTATAGATTACTACGATTTTTACTGAAGTGTGACCAATTCAAAGAAAATAACAAAATCATTTCCATTCCATTTTCGAAGAGAAAAAAATTCATTTTTTCTTCGTATATATGTTTTTTACATTCGTACCAATTAAAAACTCAGAAAAAAGTTACACCATATGCAACGTTTGACACTAGAGGAGCGTGCTAAAGCAGACAGTATGGCGTCTGCAGGGGGGTCCTTTACAGAAATCTATAAAAAATGAAAACAATACAAAGCTTATCAATTCCACTCATGAAAAAATGTTGCAAATAGATTAGCAAACATATAAATGTTTACAATAGATAGCCACAACTTTAAGTTAGCAGCATACAATAAGTTGAAAATTGTTCCACAAAACTGGGTTAACCGGAAGTTGAGTGGATTTAGTATGGATACTAAGGCAACGGATGATTACTTAAGTGATATGAGAGTCAATGACAGTTTTTTATTTGATTTATAACTGGGGGACTAAATGTATTTCTGTGGCAACCTTACAGACCACCTTTTGTAATCAAGAATTTCATATCTGGGCAAAAATGTTACGCAGTGCACATCTGGAAATTGGTTTTCGGACAAGAAGGTCATTCAAGGGTCTTTTCATGATAGCAAGACATTTGTCAATCCCATTATTTTGGAAATAATGGCATATTATGTACACTAGAACCGGTCCGGCAAAAGTTCAATGCACAAATAAGAATTAAAGGGTGGTGCGTTAGCAATTTTGTCTAGTGTATATGTTTTTTTGTATTTTTTGCTTAATGACGTTCATCACATTCAATATATACATCAATCTAAATAGCTTGCTACAAGCCTTAAGAAGTTTTTCAAAGCGGAAAGGGGGGGAGGGGGCTCCTGGCTTTAAAAAATCCACAGGTTCATCCATCGTTGCAAACCACGACTAAAATGTATGATCCTCTCCTACTCCGGACCATGGCTTGAGACGATGGGGTTCATCTACCTGAGCGGCATGTCCAATACATATTCCGTTGGAATCCAAAAAAAGTTATTATAATAATGGTTCTGTACGTTACCAAAGCTTAAGATAATACGAGAATTTAACATTGATATTGTGCTATTATTTTACTGTCCCTCAAAGTACACATCATTTGCAGGCCCGTAAAAAGCAATTTCAATTGTGGGGTACAGTCATACATTTTCTGGCCATGCATTGTAGAATTTGTAAATGATGAGGTAACCTGCGTCAACTTTCAGAGTCTGCAGTGGACTCATCCAAGGATGCTTTTGTGGGCGACTGTAAAAAGTTACCTGAGATTCCTACGCGAAGGAAAGCGCAAAATCTCTGTATAGAAACTGTTGCAGCTGCGGAGCTTCACTCATTGTTCATTCGCCATTATAAATAAGAATAGAATCCGATATTTAACACTTAATTTTTTTGAATATACAGATGTTTTCAAGATAAGCTTCATTTTTGTTTCTAGAAAGATTTTTATCTACAAAAATTAATATATTTTTCTGTCTTTAAACTGAGTAAATCGATGACCTAGCATTGTTTTAGATAACTCAAGCCCCTCTAGGGCTTGACTAAAAAGAGAAAATGAAATAAGTTTGATCTTTTGTTGAGTTATCTCAAACTAAATGTTTCTTATTTTTTTATACACGATTGAAAAAGTAAATCAGCATTGGTTTAAATTCTTAACAAAAATGAGTCCGATGTGATGAAGCAGTCCAAGTTTAAGTCATTTTCCTTAAAATATTGATTGTTTGAGTAATAAAAGGTTCTATATCAAAATTCTAGGAAATAACTGCTAAAACTATAATTCTGTTGATTTTTCTTTGAATAACATAAGAATTTTCATCATTTGATATTCTAATAAACCTCTGATATTAAATAACGATTTTTTTCTGTCTATGAATATCTGAGGTACTATTATAATAAAAATTCAAAAATATCTTGAGTCAACTATCAGTTGGAAAGGTATATTAAAAGGTATTGATAAACTACAATGCATATTACTTTAAGAAAAAAAGAATAGGATTCAAAATGGCAAAGTGGAAAACCTCAAATATCTTTTCATTAGAAACAAATAACTTCATAGTTAATGAAAATTCCAATAAAAAAACAATATCAAAATCAAAGAAAAAGCCAAAGCAAACATATAAGGCTTCAATCAACAGTGGTTTTTGTACCAAAAAAGTACTTCAGAATCCTCCTCTTTCTTGTGCAGGAATGAAAACACTACAATTGTTCAATTGTTGAAGAATATAATTACATTTGACATGAAGAACAATTTGAAAATGAACAAGAAGTGTTTGTGAAACATTGATGCCTCATATGGCAGCTAACGGCAAGGGTTGAAGTTTCTCAAATATAAGTCTTACTCCAAGGTTAGGGTCAAGAGATCATAAATGTTATTACCTAAACAAAGGACTTGTGTCAATGAATATATTTAGAAATATGAAAGCCCAAGTATTAACCTTTTAAAAAGTTATGACTAAGACCAAGTTTTTTAAAATAGGTCAAATGCCAATGTCAAGGTCAAAAGGTAAAAATTTAAGGTATCCAGGGAAAACCTTGTTATAAGAAATACACAAGTGAAATGTAATAGCCTTAGCATCTGCTTAAGCACCTACTGTTCAAAGGTTATGGCAAAGATAAAAGTTTTTCAAAAGTAGGTCAAAATTTTTGGTATCCAAAAGAAGGTCTTGTCAAAAGAAATATAGCTGTGGAATTTTAAAACAGTCATGTGTTACATTCTAAGTTAAAAGATAGTAATTAAACATTTTTATCAAATCTCTTATGTTTTTAAAATGAGATTTTTTTTTATACATTAATTTTTGAAATTCATTAAATAAAAAATTTCAAATTTTTAAAAATCACTGTTTGTTTCATTTCTTTTGCATTTCATAATATCGAAATTTTGTACATGTACATACACATGTACAGCTCTTTTATATTTGTTTTCAGAAACAACTTACAGTCCTGAGTCAGTTCAAATCCTTCTCCCAAAGCTTGCTCTGGTTTTTGTGACAGCTGGCAAATCATGTAATCATGGCCACAGAAGCCTCTGTCTCTGTCACACTCACACATCTTTCTTCCAGTGATCAAACATTCTGCAGGATTTATGAGCTTAGCCTCTGAAAAACAGTTATCTTAGAAATGAACTTGATCTCAAAATTTAGACTGACCACATATACATGTTAAAAAAACTGTTATAATATCCCAAGAATTTTGTCTCGGGTGAGCTATAAATGCATCTCATTTTTGAATTGGGAAAGAGGTCTAGCTTGAACTTAATTTTTTAACAATTATTGTAATAAAAAGATAAAATCATATCATATGCTGCATGAAAAAAGCATTTTAATTTGATCTATTATAGCTTTACTCTTAGCTTTAAAATACTTATAATTAAAGGAGATATAGCTCTCAAAATTTATGACAAATTTAATATTAAAGAATCTACCAAGAATCTTTGTGAAAGGAATAAAGTCATAAGATTTCTCTAACAATGGAAATTTACATATTTCGTAAAAAGGGTATACAGTATAACTTGTATTTATATCCTGTATCTCTTCTGATAATGGGGATAGGATTTTCTTTCTAGGAGTTATTTGCAACTTATTTATTAAAATTCTGGTTCTTGCAGGCTTTGTTATTAACAAACTTTCATGACAATACCTTGCAGGTACTTACATGAACCAATGACTCAATCAGTTAGCTTTTGAGACAACTTACCTTCTGGGCCACAAACACAATCAGGTTTTCTGCAGACATCGATATGATAATTAACTTCTTTGGTGTCAATGGCATCTAGATTGAGAGTGCCTTTTGGACATGGAACACACTGGTCCTGTCCTAGTTCAGTGGTACATAAAATATAATCTTCATCTGCAAGACGAGTTTACAGTATACAAAAACTTGTATCGTAAAGATATGTGTAAATAAAGGTGCACTCATGTAATACATGCACCTTGAAAGACGGAGGAAAATGTTGAAAAAAATGCAGATCTGAGGGATAAAATACACCTACTGGCAAATACGAGGGGTGATCAAAAAGTTCGCAAACTAATTGAATAACTTCCATACAAGAAATGATGTTTGGTTTTAATGTTGATTATATTTTAAATTGATCCTCCCCGATTTTAATGCACATCAACCACCGTTCTGCGCATGGGCGATTCACGTGATATTGGCAGTCATGTGACCCCCTCCGTAGCATTTGTCACAAAAGTTGAAAGATTTTTCCAGTTTTATATTTCTTTCCATGTGAGTTAATTTTTATGACAAAAACAGTTCATTTGTCAGAAATGGTCATATCTCGGCAACAGAATGGGTGGATAATAACATCCTTTCCAAAAATAAGCATGGCGACCATTAAAACACAAATCTTCTGTCTCAGGAGAGAAATTCAAGGTGGATAGAGAATGGGTGCATCCTTTTTATCATGTCTAATATGTTTAAAATCTAAAGTAAACGATATCTTAGATATTTAATACTTATATCATTGTTCAAATATTCAACTATTTTTCAAAGTGCTAATTGGAGGTCTTTGATAGCAAATTGCTTAATTAAAAATACATATCTTTTCAAACTTGTTTTCACTGCGCAAGATGACAAGTATCATTTTTAACCATCAGCCTTCCTTCACTAAAACGATTAATCCAATCATTAATTGAACTTATAGGAACTCATTTATTTTTATAAACTGTGTACAAATTATTATATGATACTGCAGAGGGATTTCTAAGATATTACAATAAATTGTACAGTTGTTTGTTGAACGAGTTCGACTGAGACAACCATTTTTCGTCACAAGTGACCTAAATAGTGACGTCATTTTCACATTGTGACGTCACAAACAAGGAAAGAAACTTTATTCAGCATATGCTATTTATAGACCTTGTGTATGGCTATGTGTGTACCGAATTTCATTCTAATCTGAATTGTGGTTTTGTAGATATAGAGATAGTTTGCGAACTTTTTGATCACCCCTCGTATGTATCTTTTAGTTTGTCACCACAAGTTAAGAAAATGACCTACCCTCAGGGAATATGATTTTTTTCAAGGGCAAAAAAATCTTCATGTCACTATGTTTATTATCACATTCTGTACCTGCTGACTACCTAGATTTACTGATTTGAGGGAAAAGCAATGGTTTTACAGACTCTCTTAAAATGTTACGGTATTGTTGGCATACATACTATTTTTATATGGGAAATTATTTTGATCTGCCAAATTAGTTATTTTTTACAGCATGTAAATATTTACTGACATACAATACATATCTTCAGGACTGGGGGATGGATGTTGACTTATATTAGTATGCCAGATTGTCAACATATCAGATGTTGAGGTACCAAAGGTACACAGATAACCAACAAGAGGCCCACAGGCCTTATAGGTCACCTGAGTATTGTGTAACAACTTTCAAACAATTAACTTTGGTTCGTGTTTTAAACCAGAGGCCATGAAATTCAAAATTTTGAAAGAGGCACCATTGCTTATCATAATTATAAACTTAGCATGCTTACTCTATTTACATAATACCCAGAGGTAGATCAGAGTAACATTAAGAGAAAATACACTTCCACTTTATAACCAGTTTTGCACCTCACCTGAAAGGAACCACTGACCCTGGGGCCACATATTTCAAAATTTTGCAAATTTTATCATAAAATGGTTGACTAATACCAAAGTGCAGATTTCAAAGCATTAATTTATTTTCAGACTATGTAACACCCCCCCCCCAACCCGACCCAGGGGGGGGGGGCATAAAAAATAACCATTTTGCTAGATGCACCTTTCTTCATCATAAATATATACACATGGATCATAGGTTCAAAACCCAGGAGCAAAGGAATAGATTTTCAAAGAATAAATGCATTTTCATTATATAATCAATAGAGACCTGCCCTAACACCAGAATCCCTGACCCTGGGGCCATAAAATTCACAATTTTGGAAGAGGCAGTCTTGCTCATCATAACTATGTACTTAGTTTGTATATTTAATACCCAGAAGCAGAGAAGAAGATTTTCGGAGAATAAATGCATTTTTACTATATAATCAATAGAGCCCCGCCCTAACACCAGAACCCCTGACCCTGGGGCCATAAAATTCACAATTTTGGAAGAGGCACTCTTGCTCATCATTGCTATGTACTTAGTTCGTTTATCTGATACCCAGAAGCAGAGAAGAAGATTTTCAAAAATAAATGCATTTTCACTATATAATCAATAGAGCCCCCCCCCCCCTTAACACCAGAACCACTAACATGAGGCCATTAAATTCACAATTTTGGAAGAGGCACTCTTGCACAACAGTACCTAGTACTTTGTTTGTATATCTAATACCTAGAAGCAGAGAAGAAGATTTTCAAAGAATAAATGTATTTTCACAATATAATCAATAGAGCCCCCCCCCCTAAAACCAGAACCCCTTGACCCTGGGGACATAATATTCACAAATTTGGAAGAGGCACTCATGCTCATCATAACTATGTACTTAGTTAGTTTATTTAACACCCAGGAGCAGAGAAGAAGATTTTTAAAGAAATAATGCATTTTCACTATATAATCTTTATAGCCCTGCCCTAGCACTAGAACCCCTGACCCTGGGGCCATGAATTTCACAATTTTGGTAGAGGACTCAATGCTCATTACATTCATGCCAACAGTTTGCCTGCTTGATGTCCAGGAGTAAAGAAAAAGATTTTTAAAGATTGCAATAATTTTAGTGGTTTTGGCCCAACCCCTCAGGCCCCAGGGGGCGGGAACCATAGAATTCACAATTTATGTTCCCATCCACCCATAGATGCTGTATATCAAATTTGGTTGAAATTGGTTCAGTGGTTTCAGAGAAGAAGCTGAAAATGTTCAAAAGTTAACACACGACGCATGACGGACGACGCACGACGATGGACAACAACTGATAGCAATAGGTCACCTGAGTTTACTCAGGTGACCTAAAAAATAATATCATGAATATGAATTCTTATCACTTACTTTCTTTACATTTAGCAGTCTTGCAGCAAATAGATCCCCTTCTAATATAACCATCATTAACTGGGCATTCACTCATAGAATCAGCATTGTGTATGAGTAGAATAACATTCACCTGAAATAAAGTTTTTGATCATTCAGATTATGCTAGCTCCCTCTTAAAGCATGCATGTAATGTTGAGCATCTATAAATCCATTGTCATGGATAATTCTGTCAGAAATTTTAAAGAGGTCCATTGACTTCTTTCTTCTGTTAAAATTTCTTTTAAAAATCCTGTGATTGTTTTTTATAGTCAAATTTCTATTTTCTTTTAATTTTTGACTTGGAAATAGACATGAGGGAGTATGACTTTAAAGTTACCTCGCCAGCTCAACATATATCAATATGATTGCTTAATTCATGCATGAACAAGAGGCCCAAGTCAAATGATACAGTACAAAGCTAGTAAATATAAAATAATAAAAAAAACAGAGGTCCATGGGCCACATTGCTCACCTGAGCACTGTGGCTAAGAAAAAGTAGAAATTAGTTTATTATTGAAAAGTTTAAATCAAAAAGTAGTTCTATGACCAATCATGGCTTTGCTATTCTTGAGAAAATGATTTTTAAAGAATTTTCCTATATATTTCTATGTAAAACTTTGATCGGCCATTGTGGCTCCACCCTACCCCTGGTGGTCATGATTTGAATAAACTTTAATCTACACAACCTGAGGATGCTTCCATATGAATATGATCAATTATGGTTTTGCAATGTCTTGAGAAAAAGATTTTTTAAAAAAATTCCAAAATATTTCTATGTAAAACTTTGGTTGGCCATTTTGGCCCTGCCCTACTCCCGGGGGTCATGATTTGAACACACTACCTGAGGATGCTTCCATATAAATATGATCAATTATGCCTTTGCTATTCTTGAGAAAAATTAAGATTTTTTAAAGAATTCTATGTAAAACTTTGGTCGGCCATTGTGGCCCCGTCCTACCCCCAGGGGTCATGATTTGAACAAACTTGAATCTACACTACGTGAAGATGCTTCCATATAAATAAATATGATCAATTAGGGCTTTGCTATTCTTGAGAGGAAGATTTTTAAAGAATTTTCTTATATACTTCTATGTAAAACTTTGGTTGGCCATTTTGGCCCCGCAGTAAAAAATGTGAAAAGTTTACGGACAGACGGACAGCTAGACAGACGCCGGACAAAATGTGATCAGAAAAGCTCACTTGAGCCTTTGGCTCAGGTGAGCTAAAAACACCAAAATAAAAAACTCACCAATACTGTAGTTTCAACATTGCATAGCAACCTTCTCACTTTCATAGTCTGAAAGAAATATCATCATTAAATGTTTATTTGAATTATAAACTGATAAAATATCTTGCTGAAGACTTAAAACATAGGTAATCAGAGATTACAGAGCTCGATTAGGCCAAAATAAAATTATTGTTGATTTAGAATTCCTCCCGCCTCATTGAAATGCCCCCTCCTGAAAAAATTAAAATTTTTATTGACCAAAAGTAGGAAGATTTTTTTTATTTAATAAATTTTTTTGCCCATCACATGTATCACATGCACCATACAAAACACTGAAATATAGTGTCAGATTTATGTAAAATTAGGCTTTTTTGTTGATGGTAGATAATTTTAAATTTTTTAAAAGTCAGAAAATGAATATACTGAGATTTTTATCAAAAATTTAAAATTTACCTTCAATTAAAAAAAAAAAATTTCCCTCCCTCCCTTCTGTTTCTGAAACCGTTCAGGCAGCAATTCCAAACAAACAATTTTTTAAGGATGGCCTTACCTCGAAGAATAATGTCTTTCAGTCAGGAAAATAGTCCCACATTAAACTAACAATCTAGAAGTTTTCATCCCAAGATGTAATGTACATTACTGAAATTTTTATTTGAATTTGATATGGCTTGCAGTAGTTTTGGAACAGACTTATCCATAAACTTCAAACTAGTCACCCATCAAGAAAATGGAATTCAATTCCAGCATTTGAAGAAAGTTTGAGTGTGCATGTTCTTCCCTGGATGCATCATCCATGCAAGTTCGGTTAACATAAACCTTATACAGGGTTTGAAATTAAAAGTTGCCCACTCACAATCTGTGACTAATATTCCATGTGGGCGTCTTAAAATTATAGGCAAAAAAAATCAAAATTCAATGCGGCAGGTAGGCTTTTTTTTTTTGAAGCAGGTTTTACAATTTTTTTAAAGTCATTTGTTCAATGAAATGATAATATCTAATAAATTTTTGTTCTCTGAAATTAGTTATAATATGTGTTCAACTTTAAATATTGTTATTCCAAACATTGATTTAAAAGTTAATTCATAAAATATGGTAAATGTAGAAGAAATATATTGTTTTTCTTACAAAAATGTCTTTCTTAGCATTTCTGAAAAGGGGAATAACTCAATTTTCTTTTTCAACTTGGAGATATAGAAAATTGAGTTATCTCCCTTTCAATATGTCAATAAAATTGATCAATGCGGCGGTGCCTGAGAAACTATTGATTAATTTTTTTGCCTTACATTCAAGTAGCCCACATGGCCATTAGATAATTTACCATAACAAATATTTGTTTTTCAAATTTGTCCCAATGTTCTGTATTTTTCTCTTGAAAATCTTGAACTTCGTAATCAGTAGAGTGCTTTATATTTACCACTGCATGAGAAGTACTTATACATAAAGCGTCTGAGTGATTGTGATGGACACAATGTGGCATCATCGAGTCAATGAGCCCAATAAACCAAAAAGTATTGTTTTTATTTGTGAAAAAACCTAGTTGCCAATTGTGCTTAAATAAATTATATTTAATAACCATTTCAATCGATATCTTTTTAAACAAAAACATACAGTTCTACTTCAAATTTAAATAAGTTGTGCATCATGTTTCTACAGATAGATAAGAAACACAATGCATATGATTAAAAAAATACGAAAAATGGGGTTGTTGTACATTTATTCAATAGAATTAAGTTGTGATAATTTGTGGGTGAATAAATTTGATGTGGGCCCCAGAATTGCAAGGTTTAGTAGCCTACATGGCTATCAAGTATTACAAGTAGTTTCAAACCCTGCTTATAGTTTATTGGTAATAGACCTGCACCTGTAACTTTTACTTGGTCCATTATTTGTCAAATGTATGTCGGATCCAGCATCCGAAGCAAGTCAGTTAGTTTGCATCCTTAGATGTATCATCTATGCATGTTTGCTCAACATAGGGCTTATACCTACTTAGGAATAAACCTGCTCCAAAAACTTCAACCTGTTCACTCATCCACAAAATGTTGATCAGATTCAGCATCCGATGCAAGTCCATCAGGGGTTGTCCCAGTCAAAAAAAACAACACAGAAATTTCTTGTCAAGCAAAAAAAATGTAACTCATTTCCCAAACTTGACCTAAATCGGGCTGGGGGTCTCTCCTTTTAAGGCTAATCATACATAGATTTTCCTAGAAACCTATCTAGTACTTTCCATAACATCTTAGCAGATATTTGCTTTTGGAAGAGGGGTATTTTTTTTAAATTTTGAGATACATCAACTTCATTTTTTTATTTCTTTACATAAAAACTTCTACCCTTTCTATCTGTGTATAAATACTTGCAAAATTATTTACTTTATGCCAAAATAAAGCATGACAAATTTGTAATGAAATAATAACACAAATGACATGTGCGCCATCAATATTTTGTTACATAGACTATATGGTCCTAGTTATTGCGTGTATGTCGTGTCTCTATTTTTAGACGGTCCAAGCATGGTAAATGTTTAGCTACATTTAAGAAGTCCCCTCGAAAATTAACCACAAATAAACATTAATTTACAATTCAAAACATATACATTAAATATATTTTTACTTCTGTTGCCGATTGTTATTTTTTCGTTTTCAGAGATCGCTCTTTTTTTTTTGGCAATTCATTCATTCCATTCATTCAACGTAAATATTTTTGCGTTGACATGATAACTTGATACTGTATTGTTCTACATTCAGGTACTATGTATCTCATATCAGTATTTTTCAATAACTTGTGTCATTCATACAAAACGGCTCTCCCAATTTTACCACCTTACCTATGAATCGACCAACTCACCCTTCGGCAAATATTCGGCAAGCCCCCCTCTACGCTCTCGAGCCGGTAGACTGATTTACAGTCAACTCGTACACTAACCGAGTCGTACACGAAAAGTCAGCTTACACGGGCTGAATACCGAAAAGATCTGAATGCGTTTGAATGGTTATATTAAGGGTTTGATCGTTAGAGAGACAACTCGGTTCATTCACTCTGATACAATTTACTCTACCTCGGAAGAACTTAAAAACTAGAAACTTAGAAATTAGGTTACCAAAGGGATGTTTGTTTTTACGTCGGGCTCGAAAAGCGGGGGGCGTTGTACTCGATCACAATGATCCCATTGAAATTACAATGATGATTTGATAGGTGTATTGGACTTTAAAAATGTCTTTAAACTTAGTCGCAACACCAGCGTAAGTATTTCGAGTAAGGAAATAAATAATATTATAGTATAATAGTATATAATAGTGTTCAAATTCGATCAACAGTCCATTCAAACAACATTTATAAACAGATACACGTTTTTAATACTATCAAATATAGTGATGAGTGAGTGATCAACAAACAGTATTCAAACTCAAAGTCCAATTAAAAATACTAATTGGTACGAAGGCATTACATAGACCCCCAGAATAATTATGCGGCCAGGGATCAGATGCCATGATAGATCGAACATTGCATTATTTTAAAATGATCAGGTCCAGCACAATACCCCGATAAAGGTATATAGCTTGATAAAGCTATATAGCTTTATAAAGGTATTTAAAATACCTTGATCAAGGTATTTTATGTAATGGGAATTCAAAAAAAATTCTTTAAAAATTAATTACTGTAAGTCGAGTTCTGATTTGTTGTCAGTAAATTCACCCATGCATGTAAAGTACTCAAACACAAACAAATCAGTATAAAAACGTGCCGTGTGAGGAGATGTTATTTTATGCTTTCTTTTTGATACCAGAGTGTTTTTCATGCACGAGTAGACACACTGACAAAAACTCAGAACTCGACTTTCAGTATTTAATTTTTAAAGAATTTTTTTGAATTTTCATTACATGAAATACCTTGATCAAGGTATTTTAAATACCTTGATAAAGCTATATACCTTTATCGGGGTATTGTGCTGGACCTGATGATATTACCTTACCACAGGGGCCTGTAACATACTGTATTTGATTTTACGTAATCAGTATATGTATACAAAAAGAGAAAGGGAAACAACGTCAGCTCGAATTTACACAGGGTCGATCTCGGAAATGACTCCTGTTTTCAATAAAATACCTTGCAGTTAGTGAAATAACATCTGGGATCATTCAGTAATAATCACTCTTTAATAAAAATACCATCGCGGTCATTTAAGAATCGTGTAAGTCGTGTTTTGCAGATCCGATATCCTGTCATGCAAGTGATGTAGTTTAAGTCGTCCACTAAATTCACTAAACATTGCATCCAATATTTAACGCGAGATGCGATTGGTCAATGGTGCTTTTCTAGAACAGATCTGACCAATCACGCTCCGCCTTTTACCAATCATGGGTTTTTCCAAAATGTCGTCTGTTCTGGGCTCGAGCCTCTCTGTGAACGTGAAATCAAAAACAGTATGTTACCGGCCCCTGTGTACCTTACAGACCCGGTTATAACTATAGACCACAGGGGCCGGTAACATACTGTTTTTGATTTCACGTAATCACTATATATATATATATATACAATCTCTTTTTGTATACATATACTGATTACGTAAAATCAAATACAGTATGTTACAGGCCCCTGTGCTATAGACCGTTTCACGGTAACTGTGGTACTGCTCTTTTGCAGGGCAAAATGGTATAGTTTGGTGAAATATGACATAAAAGTAATTGTTAAAGATATGTCATTTTATTATCTGTCAACAAAAACTTCACCAAACATTATTTTGCCCTGCAAAAGTGTAGTACCGCAGTTACCATGAAGGGGCTAATAGACTTTATTCCGTGTATTAACAAATTAAGCATTTAAGAAAATGAGTTGAATATTCATCTTTCTATGGATTATTTTTGGGGTAATGTAATTTGGTAGTTATTTTCAGTGCGACCCCTGTTCAACACAGTTGTAATAATCTTCGAAATAATTTCAGCGCAGATCCGATTTGCTACATTGCAACTAATGTGAAATATAAAATAAAAAATATTAAAACTACCGAGACACAAATAGATTATTCTTACTAGTGCCATGAAGGAGTAAGCATCCCCCTGGTCACTCTCACCATGTGCTCCTTGTCATGACAGGAAAAAAAACAGAGAAATCTATAGACACTAGACAATTCATTGTGTAAATAATTGCCTAACAATAAGTTTGAAAAAAAACGACAGAATTTCTCAAAATGATACAGATAGATTGTATTTGCTGTCAAGATCACTGTATAGACCAGGTAACTTGCAAAATGATGACTTCAAATGAGGCTGTTTATGTTCTTGTGTCATCAACTCCTTTGTCATTAGCTTGCTTCATTTTAGAAATTGTTCATACTATATCATGCTCTTCCTATCCAATCATAAACACAATGTGCAGGTGATAAGTGTCAAGCTCGCCGAGATATATCTTGTAGAAATATGTTATATATGTATGGAAGTAACTATAATTGTTAATTAATATTTAAAAGTTGTCGACATATCTATATGAGTTGAAGGCTACAGCAAGTAATTTCTTCTTCTCATGTATAAATTTTTGAATAATTCTGCCTCATATGAATTTAAATTTAAACATAGGAATTGGTCTGCTAATGACGGGGCATGATTCGCACCCATGAGTATTCTGACATATTACCAGAAGACCTAGTCTCCAAAGACTATATAGATATTGTCAATCAAACACAAGTATCTTTTTAATATCCACTTCAGATTATAACTCTGTGTACAGTCAGAATGTTAACTGACAAAAAATCTTGCAATTGACCTTTATGAGTTCCATTTTATTGAAAAAAAAAATCCCTAGGAAGCTTCACCTTTGGAAATGGGCTTGTCCTTGGGGAACTGGAATCTGGTTAACTCCCTCAGGATATACTTTAACTGTATATGTTGGAAGATAATTCTTGGTACATGCATGTACATAAATGCATAATATTCAGTAAATTTTATGTCTGCTAGTGGATTTTTCAATTGAAGAGAAAATATTTTGTAGGATAAAAAGAGCTGTTGTAAATATAAATGAACTGGATATATCAAAGTTTCCCTTACTGTTGACAAGGATTCTTTCTAAGCTTCATTTGAAGGTAAGTATCTCATGTAAAGTATGCATATGTAAGGCTAGTTCATATAAAAATAGTGCAGATGTGTAGAATGGAATAATTTCAATGATTGATTGTTTGTTGTTTAATGTCCCTTTTAATTAACTCCTATGGAGATGCCACTACTTGCCTGTGGAAAGCTACAAATTTTGACCTATACTAGGCACTAATATGAGCATTGAGCATGTTGATTTGTGAGCATTGATCTTTTTTTCGTGCATGCACTTACTGAAACATGGGACTGTGAAAAATATGACTATAAAACCATGCAAATACAGTAAAACACACTTATATTTTGTACTTCCATATATTTTTTATCTGAGATTTTTTTTCATTGTCTTGGGGATATGGAACCCCTGGTAGTCCAATTTACGGTATTTAATTTAAAAAATAATCTTTTATCTGGCATCAAACTGCATTGTTTTTCATTTTATTTTAGGATGAAAGAACTTTCTCAGAAGAGGAGGAGGAAAAACTTCAGTCCTCACTGTCCCTATCTGATACTGAACTAGAATTAGTCATTCATACACTGGAATTCATCTTACATCAGGTAATGTACAACAAGTTCATTCAGGAGATTTATCTGCTCACTCTAACCAAGTAAGCTTTTTGACCAGAATGTGCCTATTGTTTATCTTTGTCATTGGACTGGCATTAACTTCTCACATTTTTATCCTCTTCTTCTCAAGAATCACTGGACCAATGTTCACTAAACTTGTAACAAAGCATCTTTGGGATGAAGGG